GAGAGCATTAGCTCTGCGGCTGGAGCATGGGGGGAGCAGAGGCATTAGGAGGGTCAGATTTTTGCCTTTCCTTCCATCGTGTACACAAGGGATCAATGGATCTGAGCTCGGTGTCCTCTCTCAAAGAGGAAAACTGATGATTCAACAGGTGAAATGAATTCATACAATCCCAGTCATACACAAATTTGTTAGAAAGACTTCGCATCAATAACTCCCAGTCCCAAGCCAAAGCTGACACTCTGTCTTAACACCTCGTTGTTACAGAGCATTGCTCATTGGCGAGCCTCGAGGACCATGCAAAGGGCGATGTAAACCAGTGCGCTCTACCTCAGGGAAGAGACGAGAAAACGTTCTCTGCCAGCACTTGAAATCCTAGTCCCATCCACCGAGCACTCAAAAAAAAGCTGAAGCGAAAAATTAAGTTAGGTCGCTCCCTATTCGCGGCTGTAACAGCCACTGCTCAAAGAACGGGACTTCATCAATATGAGCATTTGGAAGCAGGGGTATTGAACAAAAAAATAAAGACAGGTCACATATGATCAATCGCATTTCTCCTGCTGTTAAAATCTGTTTGCCTCTCCGGAAGGTGGACGGACTGCGTGGCTTCCGCACTCCCGCCGGTGGAGGGGGTTTGACCGGGGGCGAGGAGGAGCAGGAGCCCTGCGGCGGAGCGGGATTGGGATGGACACCCGTGCAACCTGCCGGGAGAGGCAGGAGAACATGCCTCAGTAAAAGAGATGGAGGCTTTACTCTTGACAGCCACGGAAGGCTTTGTCAAGCTCTCGGATCTTAATCTTATGGATAAGCAGCTGTAATAAACACGTTGTAGGTCTTAAAATGTGTGCCTTATTGTTTTCTCTCGTTGCAAAACCTCGCAGTAGTCCCCTAATGTAGATTCAGATAAACATAGGGAACGAAAAATTAAACTCCCAACAATGCCTTGTTTTCTTTTGGTTTAGTTTGTTGTTTGGGTGTTTGTTAGTTTGTTTTCAGGTGGTCTGGGATTTTTTTAAGCGATATGGGCACTTTTAATTTCTGCAATCAAAAATGCCAATAGGATGTGTGATACAAGGACTGCACTGCCAAAATTCGTTTACAAACTTGACTCGCGAGTTTCTTTGCGAGGAAAAGGACCGTCCCAAAGCCGAAAAATTCCATCTTTTTAACCGCACCGTTTTGTTCTGCCTCTGAAGCGCCTGTTCTCCTCTCACAGTGAAGCGATCCCGACCCTCTAGGGGAGCAGCCGTGCTTCTGTTGGGGAAAACGCGCCTACAGGGAAAGGAGCGCGCTCGGCTCTGCCTCGGTCTGTCCCTGGGCCCTTAGGGTGGCGGAGGGAAGGGTCGACGAATGCCATCGCCGTAAACGACGGTAAACAATATAGACATCAAGGCAGACAACCCCCGGGCCCCCCGTGACCTTTGCGCTGCTCAGGTTAAATCTATAAATACCCAGAAGACACCCGAGCCCATTGTTTTGCTGCCCTCTGAAACCAAACCTGTCAAGGGGACGGAGGGGCGCCCCTCCACTCTCCTGCTCCTCTCGCCTCTCCGCGGCGAGAACCGAGGACCGGTGGAGGATGCCGGGAGCCCGGCCCAGCCCGATGGCGGGGCAGCAGCTGGGAAGTCTTCACTGAGCCCCGGGGCGAGCCCTGCCTCCCGCCGGCCCGGCCGCGGCCCCACGCCCGGCGCGCCCCAGGTGGACGGGGTGGGGAGAGAGACGGTGAGAGCTGCTTGTAATACCGAATTCCTTTTCACAACGTCGTGATTAGAACCCGCACGTGATTAAAATCCAGATTTATCCCCCTTTTAAATGAGTCTCGTAAAAAAGCGCATTAACTCTAGCGACAAGATTCATGGCTGAGACATAAATAACTTGGATATTCAGGAGATATTTTTTATAAACTTGGGGGATTATCCGCTTGCTTTTCTCACCCTTCCCCATACCACACCCAAACCGCCACCTCCCAGCCTGCCATCTCACTTCTCCCAGGAAGATGCGGCCCCGGAGCGCGAGGAGGTCTCTCGGGGTGACTCAGTATCGCCAATATCATCGTCGAAGTGTTTGGGCACGGCTGTAAAATGGCACATAAGGGGTCGAGAATTCCGCCAAGACAGGGAGATAAGGAGCGCTGCCTCCCACGCACCCCCAGGGCTGCAGTTTGTACGCGTCCAGCACAAAGCCGCACCGAAGGCGGCGAAGCCCCAACGCCGGGAGCGGAATGGGGCCACCCCGCCGACACCCCCACTTCACCCCCACCCCCGGAGGTTGGAGAGGAAAATCCATGCCAGCGCGTAGGAGAGAAATCCTGATACCTGCCTGTACGGAAAAGATCTCTAAAAAGGAGAGGGAAGCCTTACTCTGCCCTTGGCCGTGTTTAGTTCCCCGCGGCGAATGATTTTCAGACCCTCCTGAGCTGAAATGGAGGAACTTTACGCGAAAAGATCGATAAATGGGGCTAGCCCGATTTACGTTATCACATGCAAAATCAACACATAATTTCCCAGCCCGTACTGTACCACTTGCGGCTTCTCCGTGGGTACACCGTACCAAGAATCCCTCCAGCAGAAGGAACAGCCCATCGCTACTCGGGGCAGCGGCTTTGGCTGTTGAACCTTTGGGACACTATAAAAATTCCCCCTCCTAATTTTTTTTTTTTTGCTATATCGTTGGAGATTTGGCAAGTTTAAAATACTTTAGGTGTAAAGTTTGTTCTTAATTAGGTCTTGTAAAGATGGAATTTGGTGGTCATTATAGAGCCGCTAATCAATTTTCACCCAGGAGCAAAGGTACACCTCGGAGGAATTAGGTTTTATGAAGTGACTGTGCAAATTACACTCGTGGACTTTATTTAAAGTCTATCAACCTCCTAAAAATTATTTCTCAAACTGTTCTTGATTTCCTTTGCTTTATGAAAAACATCACGTTTGCTTTCTGAGGTTTCAGGCACTAGCAGTCATTCTGTCCCGCTCTCCAATCTGGCACAGAGGGAGTTTTCCAATTTTCCATTTCGAATTCGTGGAGAAAAGGGCAAGTTAAACTTTTAGACTATACAAAAATATATCCTATTTCTGCTAAAAAAATAAGAAAAACGGTTCTAAAAAGAGAAGACTGACGCACAGATCTGCTCTGTTATTAGACATTGGATTTTTTGTTTTGAACAGGGAAGTCCCTGAAAACCTGAGCTATCTTTTTACTGTTTGATCGCTGCTGTCCCCTCTCCTTTACTCACGTTCCTTCGCTGGAAGAGACGTCCCTGGCAGCAGATTTTACCTACTTCTCCTTAGGATCCGCACCGGGAAGGGCTGTTGCTATTCAAAGCAAATTGAACTGCGGTTCCTTGAGAGCGTAGCTGGGCGAGGTCTTCGGAGTTCCCAGTCTTTAGCTCCGTTCAAAACCACTTTAAATATTTTTTTTTACAGCAAATATTTTTGACACCTCTATCTCTCTTTATCTTTTTTTTTTCTCCTTTTTCTATGTTTGTTTGTTTGTTTTTGTTTTCTTGGTTTTTTCTGGATCTTGAGCTGATGCTTACTGATAGCTCAGGGAACGTCATGTAAAATAAATAAAAATAATTTTTAAAAGGTGTTTTCTTCTCCAAGTGCGGCGGAGCGGACTTGGCACAACTGGAGGAAATTTCTGCACTTTTTCTCACAGTGTTGCTCAAAGAAATCGCTTGACCTTTTTCCCCCATCCGAATATTAAAAATGAAGTTAAATCCCCTAAAATTCGTTTTCTCCCCACACTACAATTATAAGCTCGGGACCGGTCTCTCCGTCCCTTTCTAAGACGCTGGGGAGCGTGGCGTGGGGAAGGCGCGAAGGGCGTGGGAGCAGTGGGGGTTGGAGGCACGGGGCCTGGCGCGTTTTCACTCCCGGGGTAGTCGCGGGTCCGCGGCTGCTTTCGCAGCACCGTCGGTTTAGGCCGGAGAGAAAAGACCGGAGGGAAAAGAGGAGACCGGGGGTTTCGCTGGAGCCAAATAATAGCTCCGAGCTACTGGAACCCCTTTAAATAAAAATAAATAAACGAGAGTTTAAAATTAAAAGTACAGACACAAGAAGGGAAGTGTTGTTCTCCCTCTTCCCTAACCCTGTGCTGCCGGCCGAGGGACCGCGGCCCCGGCGCTGCTCCATGCGCCCCGGTCCCCGGGGCCGGACTCCTCGGAGTCCTTCTCACCCACTGAGGCCCTTTTCCCTGCCAGGAGCAGTAGGAGAGGGAGGAGAGGGTAGGACCCCCTCCGCCGTCTCCCCAGGCCTCCGCTGCGGCTTGTGCGCTCCGTCCCGGGAGCGGAGCGAGGCCGCGCCGCCGAGCCCCAGTGGGCCCGATCCCGGGAGACGGATCAGGCCCCCAGCCACTCGCTGCCGGGCCCGGCCCAGCCCGGGGAGGCTTCGGGTGGGAACTCGCCGCAGGGGTGTGTAGCGGGTCCCCGTCGCTCTGAGGAGCCGGCGACACCCGCCTCGGTGCAGGGCTGATCCTGGACTCCTCCTCCTCCTCCACCGAAAACTCCGGCGCACGGTCTCCACGAAACAGACTCGGGGGGTTAGCTGGCAACTCGGAAGGAGGAGATGGGTGCATGTCGCACCCCACTCCTTTGCCCCCGACCCACCCGGCAATTCCGCGATCGGAGGCCGGGAAGCTCCGGAACAAGGACTACCGCGTGTCCCGAGACACTCGTGAAGGACTATCGCGACCGACAGGCACGGAGAGGGAGGAGAGGGGGAGAAACAAAAAGCGGAGCCGGCACGCCGCCCCTCCCGGGATATCATGGAGCTGTGGGGGGAAAAGAGACGCAGCGAGTAGGAGAAAAGTCCCCGGAAACTGAAAGGAAAAAAAATCCAAGAAATCTCCGCAAAAATCCTGCTTCCTTTTCCTCTACCCCCAGTCCCGGATGTTTTCTGGGACACGCTGCCGGGTACAGCTCTCCCGGCGGGTAGCGAGTGGCGAGTGGCGGGGAGGGAGCGGGGCGGGCGGGGGAGTCCCGAAGAGAAAGGAGTCGCACTAACCGGGGTTGAGGTCCAGGCACTGAGTCGGGTCTTCATTGTCCCCCAGCTGGCCATTGGGGCTGAGGCTTTCCATGGACAAATCCAGCCCCTTGTCCTCCCAGTCTCGCAGTTTCCTCTTTTTATTTGTCCCGATCAAGGCTTCTACCGAGAATGCGTGCGCTCGGGAGCTGAGGGCCACCGCCGATCTTCGCCTCTCACTCATCTTATCCCCCAGCCCAGGCCCTTGGGCAGAGGAGCGACCAGTGGCTGGGAGCGCACAGCTCGGGGACCAGAGGCAGAGCCTCTTGCTTCTTTTTCCCCCCCACCCCTCCCCAGCTGCACCCCCAGAAGAACCAGCCCTCAGTCTCCTGAAAGCACTACATGAGGCTGCAGATACTCCGCAGGCAGAGCCGGGAGGGTGTGCTCAGCCCAGGTCCCAGCACTTGCTCAGAGGGGCTGCAGGCTGGATTTTTTTTTTTTTTCCTTCTCCCCTTTCCTTCTGTCTCTCTCTGATTGATCCAAACTTCTGGGATTTTTTTTTTCTCCAAGAGTTAGGCAGGCTGTGTGCGCCTGTCAAGGAAAAAAAAAAGAAAGGAAAAAAAAAAAACCTGTCCCCGGCCAATAGGAGGGAGAGCTCGGGAGAGACCCAAAAGCTGCGACCCAATGGGGAGGGAAGGGAGACTCGGGCTTCAGGGAGAGGAATTTTGGCCATCTGAGTCCTGGAGCACCGGCCGGGAGAATTAACTGTTTGAAGAACGGGGAGCCAGTAGGAAACCCATAGCTCTAAATGCAGAGAGGTAACAACTCCCGCACTTCTCTCCGCCGCACCCAGATTTCCCAGAGACTGCTGCTGGCTAATCCCCACGCAAAGTACCCGAGAGGGGCTTTACCACCCAGTGGTGCCGGATGAGGGAGTGTTTTTAAAAGTCATTTATGCCATGTATTACTTGCGCTTGCCGGTGGAATCGGTGTTGGCCCGGCAGAAGCAACGTCTCGAGGGGGTTGAAATTTCACTTCAAAACGATGCGTGTCCGTGGAACGGCGGGGCTGAGCGGCCGACGTGGGCTGGCAGAGAGACCCAGACAAACACGGGTAGTGGGAGCGCCTTCCCTTTGGGAAGGAGGATTTTTTTATATATAAATAAATTTTCCCCCTTTCCCGCTTCTTTTTGTCGCTTTAGCTACAGCAAGAACAAACCCGCTAGGTACAGATCCCGGCCGGTTGCCTGAATGATATTCAGCATTTTATTTCTTGCTCTCCTGTTCACTCTGCTCTGAAATCCTCCCGGCTGAGGCGGGTCTGCAACTGCTCCCACGCCCCTCGGTCACGCGTGGCGCGGGGGGGCTCTCAGTGAAAAGCAACAAGCGCTGCTTTTGAGAAGGTGGCAGAAGCGTGTGTTTTTATTAACTGATGGGACCCTGGAAAAATAGGTGAAGTCAGGCAAAACACTGTATAGGGAAAATACAGGGGGGAAAGCCGAGGGGGTTTATTAGATCCCGAGGATCGAATACAAGTTCAAAATAAAATATAAATAATTATGAAGTACAGGAGAAAATTAACATGGACTGAGCCACGGTGGAAAAGCGGGGGAGAAGACACACCAATTTTCAGGAAGGAATTATTTTTTGTCCGGTGTTTCTCCCCTGCTCCCTGAAGGCGCAGAGCTGCTTAGGGCAGCGTCGGGAGAAGAGTGAGATTTTTCGTAAACGATTTTTTACTATGGGGCTGGACACAAGTGAAGGGAGCACACGCGGGAGTGTTGGGGGGAAAGACACTTCCTTTTGCTCCCGAAGTGAATCCAAGGTGCCCATATCTGCACGGTGCGGCGGAGCCCTTCAGCCCTCTCTCTACGGCCTAAAGCGCTGACTGACAGCAGCGCGCCGAGTTTCACACGCACGGAAACGGATTTCGGATGAAAAGCGGGAAAGAAGCCATTTCTTCGCTAAATCTCGGGAAAGCTAAGCCCTGATATCTAGGCCGAGGAGCACGCTTTGTGAGTCTCCATCACCTGCGCTACAGCCCTCATCCCTCTCCTCTCCGTTCCTTTCCCCTCCCCTCCGGTACACCTCCTTGACAGGTCAATCGCCACGGGCTTGGCGCCGGGCACAGCGGCGCTGCCGCATGGGATGTCGTGTGTCCCCCACCCCGGCACTGCCGTCTCCCTCGCTCCGCGGGGAGCCATGCCGGGGCAGGAGCAGCGGGAATAAGGGAGCGACCGAGGCAGGGTCTTGGAGGGAGTCGACAGCGGTACTGAACGAAGAGCGGGGACTCGTAGGAGGCCACATGTGTTTCCAACGGGTGCCCCGGCTGTGTGTCCTTCCCCCAGCGAAAGAATGTCTCAAAAAAAAAAAAAAATCCGTTTCCCTATTTCCGAAAGCCTCGAAAACACTTGCCTGGGAGACAGACACAGAGGAAGGCTTTTAAAGAAACTGGAGGGGGATTTTAGAAAAAGAGACCAAGAAAACAGTGGAATATTTATAGCGTTTTAGTGAGAAGAAGTGGTGCTGGAAAGGCAGGGCGATTTAAACGAAATTTGAGGGTTGATGTGAGAACTCAGAAGCACGTTTTCCATAGCATTAAGTGTGGTTTTACTGGTGGCCAGGTTAAAGCATCCCCACCCATTTAGGGTCTCTTACATTGGGGCGCTCCCCTGTGCCACCCGAGGTCTGCAAGCTGTGTCCGAGCACTCCGCGTCCGGCCCTGGAAGCCGAACTGCTTCTGCAGGAGGCAACACAGTGGAGCTTCCGAGCCAATACGGCTCCTAATTGTCAGACCCCAGGGAGCAGACCCTTTTGCCAGGGATCGGAGAGCGGGTCCCCGCTGTCCCGGACGCCGCTCCCGGGACCGCGGGGACACACGGTAGCCGGTGACTGCTTCTCTCCCCCCTCCTCCCTGTCCCTACCCCGGTGCCCGGGAGGTTTAGGACAGCTCGCCCTCTCTCTGCCCGTCCGCGCCAGGCGGTGCAAAAGCGGTAAACACAGAGGCGTTGCTGCTCCGCTGTGCGAGCGGAGGGAGAGGGCAGACCCTGCAGCGGCCTTGCGGCCCCACGAGGATATGCCGGGGGAAAAGGAAGGGATGGGGATGAGGGGGCGGGGGGGACCGAGAGCCAACGCTGCCCCCTCACAGGGTTCGTTGCCCCCTGGGCTGAGAAAGTTCGCCCAGAAATAACTCCCTCTCCCCAGGCCGGGGAATGAGATTTCGGTTGAGCCTTTGCACCAAAATCTGGCTGAGCAAAACGTATACGCGCGGCGCCGCCGGCACCTGGTCCCCGTGCTCCTCTCAGCCGGAGCGGCACCGGGGCCAAGTTCCCCTCTCCCCGCGGCAAGCGGTGTAAACCTGGAGTCTACCAGAGGCCTGGGCTTAATCTGGATTCAGATCCGACTCCGACCCCCGGCCGCCAGAGATGAATGCGTCCCTTTGCCTGGTCTTTATTCCAGACTCTTACTTGAAGGGGTAGTTCCCATTAAATCCAGGAAACTGCTCCCTGGAATAAAGTGGCAGGAGCAAGGGTCGCAGGGCCAGGTCCCGGGGTTTATAAAGAAATCATTCACTCCTGCTTTCCAGTTGCCGCAGAGCGAGCCTGAAAAATATTTGTTTATATATGGAAATATTTGGAGGGGGGGGAAAAAAGGAAATAAGAGGAGCCGGTTGCGGGGCGGGAGTGCTGTCCAGATGTGCTGTTCACAGGGGCTGAGTCAGTTTCAAACCCTGCTTCACAGCAAGGAAAACCTTTCCGAAGGTCCTTTATCCAGACCTAGCCCGGGGATTTATTATTATTATTTCTTTTTTTAAACTTAGTAATTGAAAACAACGTTAAAACCAGTCAGTGGGTGCGGGCTGAAGGATGTCTGATAATGTGAGCGAGTGATTTACTGGACTTTAATGCAGCGTCGATTATCTTTTTAAACAGATCGGAGGATTTCGAGGTTGGGTCTCTCTGAAGAGGCAAGTTTAAAGTGAACACAAGTCTCCGCTTGGAAACAAGAGCAAGGTGATGTTCCTGTGCTGCGCGGGGTCAGTTATTGTGACTGTGGGAAAAAAAATACGCCTGCAATTTATTTTTATGGTCTGCACAAACGGTATTGTTGCGTATATTAACTAATTCATAATTATACCCTAATTATGCTGTCGATTCCTTCCCCCTCCCCTTCTCCCGGTTTTCTCAAGCTTTGAGAATTGAACCACCGCAAAATATTTACAGTCTGAAGTGTTTTTAAATGGGCTTTGTTTGTGTTTTACAGAATAAAAATCTCTATTAGTGTTTAAACAAACACCATGCCAGTCTCTTAAGTCTTCCAGATGTTTGCAATAAAATGTCAGGTTTTGCCTTTGGGAATCGAAATAAAATTTAACTACCTTCACCCTGTAATTATTCTCTTAGCTGTCCCTTCCTAAATTTATCTGCTTTCTATCAGGACAGAAAAAAAATCCGATTATACACTTGGACTATAAAAAACAGCCACTACTTTCCCTCCATTTTACCAGGACTTCTCTCCCACTAGTTTCGGCACTGCAGACCAAGACGCCTATATTTTTTTGTTACTCCTGTTTTCGGGGCGGCACAAGGAGAGTAGGTAGATCAGAAAGAAATCGGCAGGTTTCCTGAGCTTAAGGCAAAAAAAATGCTCCCTGTTCTCGGGCCTCTCCCCCCGTTAAGCTCCATCCCGGTCCCAGTGTTCCCCGTGGAGAGGCGAATCGGGAACTTAAAATTATGCCTGAACTACCACCAGCTCCGGGCGTCGCTTCTTCGTAGGCATTAGCCAGACCTGACTGCATTTCGTAGACTCCCCGCTGAGCTGTTTGGAAATAGGCAATTATGATGAATAATTCACACAAAGCAGGTTCCCCTCGCAAACAAAGACCAAAGTCCCGGCTAGAGACCCTTCTGCCTTCTCAGCTACTGATTTGAAACAACACAGGCAGGGTTAAAAGCCATGCATTTGTATTTACCAAACTTCAGAAAAACCCGGAACGATAAGCGGGGGACTAGATGATCTCTCTCTTCATTTGCCGCCTACAAACCCTCTTCGCCTGCCTGTCAGCACGGTCGCGGAATTTCTGCAGCTTTCAGCTCTCGCTGCTTGCGTGAAACCCGCACACGGGCTGGCTGTTCTGCACCACGCTCCCCGGTGCGCTGCAGCCCCCGGGGCACAACGTGGGGGCGCTCGCCCGGGACACCCCCACTTCACACCCACGGGCGCCCCGGACCCAGTCCCGGCTGCTCCTGCCACCCGCTTTTTTATAAGATATTTATTTCCGCCCCCCTCTCCTCTGCAGATTTTCTCCCTGCTGAGGTCTCTACTGACAGGTGAGTCCGCGGGGCTCCAGCTCTCGGATGGTGAGAGGCAAGAGGCAGCTCCAAGGAGGGCAGAGACTGGCAAGCCCACAGGAAAGCAGTGCAGTCCTCCTCAAAAAAGACTGCACACCACTCGGCTCCGAGAATGAGGAACAGCGGTGTCTGATCAGCCATGCCAGCTTGTCCACAGTTTGGCACTCGCCACATTACCCTCCTGACAGACTTATT